ATGATTATTTATCTATATGCTTTGTGTTCATGAAGCTATTAACGACCCAGCTAAATTAGTAAAAATTATGAAACCGGATGAAATTCTATCACCGTCACTATATGTATGATGTGTCAGGGATCAAAAGTATATCACCACCGAATCCTTTAGTAACCCGACACCGACTAAACGATCATCAAAGGCGGATCGTGGTGCAAGGCGACAGTGACCATGACCTTTGTACTGGCGGATCATATGCTAAAGCGATAGTGGTGTTAACCTCTACACATGCGTCTTGGCCGTCGAACCGACAGTGAACCTACACCGCTAACAGTCAGGTCAAAGTACAAGGCGATGGTGATGGTGACCACTACACAGGCAGTTGATGTGCCCACACAACGGTTTTGACAGCCTCAACATATGCGGATCATTTGCCAATGCGACGGTGTTAGTGTACATCCATAGCCGGGTCATGCTCTAATGCGACGGAAGTAAGGACCTAATCACGGATGGATCATAAGCCAATCGACGGTGTTAGTGTACACCGCAGTTGGTCCCAGATGCCGACGGTGAAGGCTATGACCATCATTGTCGATAGCTTACTGCCAAGGCCAAAATTGGACTGCAATGTGGGTTACGACGCAGCTGTGAAAGGTGCTAGTGTAGTAGTGAAGCGTCGAGTGATGAAGCTCGAACAAGCCATGAACAACGAACCAGCACTCGGCATGCATGTATCTCAGCGCTTTCACGATCACTTCGTGATCGCGAAAACGCTCAGGGGCTACTATCGGGGTTATAATCCTCGGGTGTCTCAAGGCACCAATTAGTTAGCAGGTCGAGCGGCACATGACACATCAGCTAGTGAAGGCCTGAACGACCGAGGCCTAGCTAAGCCGAGCAAAGTCAGCTTTGACCCCTCCTTTTGTCTTAGCCGCACGACGCACAAGAGACTCATGACCTCTTTGTCGTCCTGACCCCTGGAAGGAACGTGGAGAGGTCAAGCCCAGCCAAACATGATCGCTCTGACAAGAGTAGGCACGCTACACTAACCCTGTAAAGGACTAAGGGGACAGCAGTCACCTCGGTCCGATCAGACGCCACCCCTGCGCCACGCAGCTCAGACAAGATAACACTGCCCAAAGCGGTGACGGCCGGTACGCTGCCCACTGGCCAGATACAGCCCAACAAGACGCATGTACGATTCTACACAATACGGGATGGGATCCACGACTAAGGCCTTGACTTAGAGGCCATCTAGACCGGTGGGAGCCACGACCCTAACGCTCGGGATCGTGGCCATCAGCTCCACAAGTCAACCAGGTGATCGACGACCTAGGGGCGGCTACCAACTCATGTACGATGCCCTAGGAAACCAGGAGGCAATGACGAAGACCACGTCGCACAGGATGGCTGGCAAACCATCGCTGTGCCTACAGTGCCGCCATGGCCGGCATAGTAGCACCATGTCACACCATGTCACAAAGTGGCCATAAGACCATGAGGACAACCATGCTCAGACGTGCACCACAAGACGACGTAGCTTGCAAGACAAGTTAGCTAGGTCCTCCCTCAGACTCACAACCCTTCGGTCGGGAGAACCTTCTTCTTTGTACACGCTTTGGCCCCGAGCTCTATATAAGGGCAGCCATGGCATCCATCTTGAACTCATTTTTTCCACACCATAGTAGGGCTCCTAAAGCTTCCCTTCGGGAAGTCCATCTTCTAGCTCTAGCTCTGCTACCTCTTTCCCCATTGTTGCACCCCCATTCTAAGAACTTCAGAGCATTCAAACGAGGAACACGCACTCGATTATCTCTGAGACTAGACATAGGGCTCCAACCTAAACTAGTATAAATCCTCGTATCTTTTGGATGCTACCATCGTCTTCCTAGAGCACCACGGTAGTCGTATAAATTTACTAGTCTAGTTTACAAAAAACCGACAATGGGCTTTGGGGATGTGCTCACCATACTGTGGGGGACCTCAATCTACAATAGTTTGTCTTGAGCTCTCTCGATGACGTAGATTGGGCTTTGGGCACCTCCATGGGAGCTTAGAGAAGAGGATGAAGCTTGGGGCCTTCTTCTCCATCTCTGGCAACGTTGAGGGCGTGGTGACGGTGGAGAAGCTCAGCATTGGTGTGCTCCAGCAGGGGCTGGTCACCCTTCTCCTCCTCCTCTCATCTTCCTTCCTCTCCTTCCTATCTTCTCTTCTTCCTCTCCTCTCATTTCTCCCTTCTCTACTTCTTGGCTTGCTGAAGAATGACGTGAATGAGAGGGGAAGGTTGATGAGTACAGGCCCGATCTTCCGAGAGGTAGCCGGTAAGTTCGATTTGTGGAGATCTCGACATTGGCGATCCGGCTTCAAATCAAACGTGATTCGAACCCTGCAACCATTACACCACTGCTCCATTGGTTATCAATCAAGCACAACTTGATTGACCTCGCCAAGAAGGCTTTTCCTGTAAGCGAATCGAAGAGCACAAGCAAGAAGGTAAAACACGCAATTTGAAATTGCAAATATGAATGACGCGAATATCAATAGAGGATTCAAGAACTCGGTTCCAAAGGACTAATCGACACAGTGGAGGAGATCAAGAACGGGGGCCCTGGATCACTGTAAAAGGATTTGTCACTACAGTTACAATGAACGATTTAGTTTCTCGATGGAAAACTAAACTCTAAACAAAACCCAATTGTGTAGCAGCGGTGGCGGCTGTGTTTATAGTCTAAGACTCGACCTAGGGTTGGGGACGGCCAGGGGTTGGGCGCCCACAACTTGGGCTTAAGGCCCGACAAGATACATGGCCAAGTTGGCCCAAATAGGTGACGTAGCACCTTGCCGTGGTCACACAGAATGATCCACAGACCTTCTGGAGCTAGGACCAGATCCAAAACGACGGCGTCATCGTCCCCTTTCCAACGCATCCAAGAACGGCCCGTTTCGATGTGGTATGAGAAAGTTATGACCGAAACAGTGACGACGTGTCTGCTGAATCCGAGGGCGACGTGGTAGCTGAGTTGGGAACGAATTGCAACTTGGGGAAGACCATGGCGTCGGTGTGTCCAGCGTGGCGATGTCCTCATCAAAGGTGGAGGGGCTGGTGCATATGTGAGAGGGGAGGGCAGACATGTGGGGCCAGGGGTGGTGTATGTGTGACACCTCACTCGCTGCATGGGACAGGTGTCGCAGGGATTTGGCGGACAGTCCGTCAGCTCTGGCGAACGCTCCGCGGGGGCTCGACTCTGTTGGTCTGTGTAGTTGGCCTGACGGACACTCCACCACCAATGAGGGACACTCCGTCAAACCGACAGTGAGCAACTTTGATTCACTTTGCACAAGTTAATTTCTAATTTGAATTTAAAAGCACACGGATGCTCAGCAAATTTAGAAGTAACATGCAAAATTTTTAATTATAGGAATTTTTAGGTGCATTTTTATGCTCAAGATGCTTATGAAAAATTATAACAATTTTTGGGTCGTTACAAGTATGACACTTTTTTTTCTTGCAACCATGAACATTTATAGTGTGTTTGGTTTACGAAGTTACCCCATGCTTCATGAGGTGATGCATCATGAGTTTATCCTATGAATTTTAGTGGAATCAACCCATCCCTCATGCATATACTAATTATTAGTTTGGGAGAAATGAGGTGACGATGGATCAAATTATTTCATTTCATCACAAACCAAATAAAAAAGTGAGAAGTGAGAAGAATATAAGCCACCTCATTTTTCAAATCAAACACACCTTCTAGTAGTAACAAATTCTCATGTTACATTGAGGATTGTGGACACATTTTCTTCAAATGCAAGAATGTTAAATCCTGTTGGCCTTTACTGAATATGGAAGACATTAGATCTGTTTTGGCTTCATCAATCAGAAAATTGAGACAATCTCTAAGATTTGCAAGTTAGAGAAGATTAATCAAATGAAGGTTATTGTATTCCTTTGGAGGTGGTCAGCAAGGAATAAAGCAAATGAAGGTGAGTGAATGCAATCTGCAGCTGAAATTCTGAGTTCAGTCTCCTATTTCCTAATGGAATTTGAGAAGCTTGAAAACAATAATAAGGACGTCAACAGTTGTGTCAAACATACATCCTGTTCGTTTGGCTGTGGCTTGTCGTAAACGATTGTAAATTTCTAGTCGGAACAATATTTTTCTCTTACATAAATCAGCCAGCAGTACTTCTTCACGAACCAGCAACGAAACGAACTAGCCAACCGAACAGGCTGATAGATGGAGACCACCACCCGAGGAGTACTACAAAATTAATATCGACGGTGTCTTTGATTCCAAATGAGGAACTGGAGGGTGGGGCTTTGTTGTGAGGAATATGAAAGGTGAAGTGATGTTGTCTGGTGCTTGCAATATTTGTCATGTGGTGTCTCCTATACACGCTGAAGCTCGAGCTCTTCGAAGTGTGCAACATGCTGCTCACCGGGTATGCAGCATGTTATTTTGGAGACCGATGCGACAGTGCTCACAACTGCTCTCAATTCAGTTGATGTTGACCGAAGTGCTATTGGCAGTCTAGTGCACTAGATTAGGCCCTGTTCGTTTCGCTCATGTTGATACTTATGTTGATATTTATGTTGATTTATTGTAAGAGAAAAATACTGTTTATTCGGTGAAAAGTAGTGCTTAAGTATTGCTTAAGAACAGGACGTTAGTGTTTTAGAGTTCTCTTCTTGTATTATCTCGAGGTGTAATAGAGAATGTAATAATGTAGCTGATTGTTTAGCTAAATATGGAGCTAACGTTTTAGCCCCGGGCTCGGAAGAGTTGATGAGCCAGGTGTCGGTGTTTTTTTTTTTTAAACTAGGTCCCGGTGATTTGCCTACCTGTGAAAACTAATGAAGTCCTGAGATTAAAAAAAAACTCATGTTACACAGCTCATGAGGTGGGCCCATCTCCGACTGGTAAACGGACTTCTCGCTTCGCTCCCACCTGCAGATAGCGCTAGCAGCAGCATAAGCCGCCGCCGCTAGGCAAGGAGTGGAAGCCGCGGAAGCAGCCATGGCGGCGTCCCCCGTGCTCCCGGCACCTCCCTGCACTTCCTTCTCTCCTTCGTCCATATTCCTCACCCCCTGTTCCTCGGATGGCCGGAGCACAGCGCCAAGGGCGGCGGCGGTTCGCGGATCGGCGGCGACGTGGGCCCAGCGGACGCTCTCCGCTAGGTGGGTCCCATCCGGTCTGGCGGCGGCGAGGCCGGCTGCCAGGAAGGCGCGCCTAGAGGAGCTTGATACATCCAACATGCTCCTTCGCCAGCGCATCGTCTTCCTCGGTTCCCCGGTTAGTTCTTTGATCCGTTTCTTCCGCAAAATTTTAAGGTCTCTGTATTCTTGTTCTTGTTTTTTTTGTTAGAATAGTTGCAACCGATTTACTCGCTGTATAGATGCCTTGCTCACACTTGCTAAAGATCGTAAAATAAAAGAAAATGTGTCATTACTTACTGTACCTCTAATATCCAACCTAATATTTTGTGTACACCTGCCCTTTTTTTTGTTGAAGACCAGACCAATGGAGGTTGCAACCTAATATATGTGTGTATGAGAGAGAGACTAGCAGACGTGCCGTGTGTGTTATACCTATTTGCGGCTTGGAGATTTATGTCATTTGTTGCAATTCAACTTGGAATTGGGCTCTGTTCGGTAGTTGGACGCATGTTGCTCTAACCCATATGAGCACGGGTCATAAGTCTGGGTCACATACGGGACAAGGAGATTCCATATTGTCGCTGGACATGTGTTGGAATTGAACGCCGTACCATCGCTAGATGCATGTTGTTCTGACTCATATGAGCATGGGTAGAGTACAAATTACTGACAGAACAGGGAGGGCCGCGAGGGCACTGTGGGAAGTAAAAAGAAGCCAGACGGAAGAATCTCTTCAATTTTTCAAGTATAGATACGTGTATGGATAGCCACAGTAGTAAACATGCATGTACGTTGCAGCTTGTTGCACAGTTACCTCAGCTCAAACATTTATTAAGCGATCGCATAAACTGTTCCAGTACATCTTGAAATCTGACTCTGGACCGTGGCTGAACGTGGCTATTCTAATTCAGTATGACCATGGGTCAAGAGGTTAGGTCACAGATGGGATAGTGCAGTGCGCGAGAGCTCTTATCAAACAATACTCATGCAAGTTTAAACCAATCAGGATTCTAATCTATAATTCATCACGTACTACCATTATTAGTAAAATCAGCCAGGTTTATGCTCGAGGAAGTGGAGGGACAAACAAACAGGGGTGAGAGTGACGGACCAAGGAACGGAGGAAGAATTTTTCTCCTTTTTAACAATGTTATCCTAAACACTAAATGGTAAACAACCGGTCACCCTTTGTTTAGCGTTTAGGCCGTTTAGACGGTGTTTAAACGGAGTCTAAATGGTTTTGTATAGTAACACTAAAGTATACATATTTATGTATGTAAAAGTTAAATATCCTAGAAAGTATACATATTTGCGCTTGTAAAAAATGAGTATTCTACCAAATAAATTACTTGGAAGAAAACTAAATCCCGCTCCACCTCATATACTTACGATGTTAATTAGCTGGGTGACAAATATGGTAGTTGTAATCTTCCTATTGACTAAATGTTGAATTAAATGACCGTTTAGATCATTTAGTCACATTTAACTCAATTCTGTTTAGACCGTTTAGACGGGTTCTAACAGTCAAACCGTTTAATTCCCCCTTTAGGGCCTAAACGACATAGGTGGCCTTCGTTACCGTTTAAATGTTGTTTAGGTGAACAATGCCTTTTAATATTAGGTATATAGATATTAGCATGAGACATAGTTAGTTTCACAATTTTAACTCAAACCATAAATATAAATCTAGAACTGAGAAATACATCATGCTTAGGATCAAACTCTAACAACGGACGTATATTTGATGTATAAAATAGGTTGTGTGGGACGGATGGAAGTGATCTTTGTATATTTCTTGCCTTTGTCAGTGGTATTTTTATATTTTTTATTTATGATTAGCAATTATGCCACCATATATTTAAGCCAAAAATAATTTTCAAATGTCATTCACTGGGACGCATAGTTCTCCCCGACAACAAAGAAAACGAGCAGGAAAGAGTTTGTTATTATCTCTGTCTGCTGATAGTCTTCTTTATGTGCCAGGTTTGCGTTGGTAGGAAGTGACCTTTTTATCAACTGTGTATAATATTGCACCTTGTAAAACAAATTAAATGTTGAATCTTGAAATTTCTCTGATTGCTGCAGCTAAAGCCGTGGCTGCAGCTGCAGCGGCGGCTGTGGCTGCAAGTCTCTTCAGTAGCAGCAAATGGCTGCAGCAGCCGCTGCTTTAGTGTTAGAAAAATGCTTTATTGGTGTTTGAAGAACCGGATGCTATTATTTACTTTGGAGTAAAGTGCATCAGCTGTTCAACTTGTTTGGGGGTGTCATCTAGGTCCTTGAACTATAATTTGCTGATCAGTATCCCTAGATGTACTAAGTGGTTCAGTCATGGTCCAAACCTCTAATTAGTGTTAATCAACCTACTTGTCATCAATGTGGCATCCATGTGATCCAAATTTTTCCTATTCATCACTCATAATGTGCTCTCTCAGATGGCCATTCTAGCATGCCACATGGACAATTAATTGCTGATTAATGATATTTGAACCTCTAGTGGCACAATTAATAATTTTAGGGATAGATTATCTGCAGATTTGTAGGGAACTATGTGACACCCCTGAGCGAGTATGAGGGCCTCTGGTACACTTTGGCCTTTACTTTCTGCATCCTGAAAATTCAGTTTTGTACTTTCTGTGCTTCCATTTATTAGCAAATTTTATTCCAGGGAGCTTCTCTTTGTATCATCAGTATGATCTAAATAGATTTCAAGCTTTTTTATGGATCTGTTGGGATGACTTATGCTATGTAGGTGGATGATACAAGTGCTGATCTCATTATCAGCCAGCTCCTACTATTGGATGCAGAGGACCAGACTAAGGATATTAAATTGTTTATCAACTCACCTGGAGGTTCTATAACAGCAGGTGTGTGTTTTCTCATTTTGTCATTGCAAGAGCTTATTCTACAGATCTCTGTTTGGAGTTTTGGACAGTCGAACTTTTCAGATTGTATTTGTTGCACTGCAATAAACTGGTTTCTTGTCTTATCCCCTATCGGGTTTGGTTTGATTGGTCATGTGACTCGTGTCAAAATTGAGCCAAGCACCATATGAAAAATTGGATCTCTCAAGCTATGGACCAACTACAGTAGGGTCACTGTATGTAGTCCTTAAAAGTTGTCCCTGCATGGAACATATTCAATTTATCGTGAACCATAAATACATCTGAAATTTCTGGTATAATGAAATTAAATTTGCTTACAAAAGTGCATATATTTGAGATAGTTCATTGACAGAAGAAATCTTTCTATGGTCATATCAAAGATGGGAACAAACTATAACAATGAGAAAAACGTTCAGAAGAGACAACAAAAGATATTTTGTCTATGTGTTATAGTTTGCGGCAAAGAATCTGGATTCATGGCAAAAGGATCAGTGACCTTGCGCACTGGCGGAGCTACGTTGGGGCCAAACTGGGCCTTGGCCCCCCCTTGCCGTGGCATAATTTTCAAAGGACCTATGTTGTGCTAGCATGTATGGCATGCATGCGTAGTGCATCACCAATTCTGAATGGCTATATGCATTGTCTCACCTCGCCATCATAGCTTCAGTGTCTTTCTGTACTAGTACCAAGCTGCTATATTCTTCCATCTTTTCTTTTGGCAGGCTTCTTCGAGGACAATGAAATGCATACTTCACACAACACACAATAGTAATAGCGCTAGCTAGGGCTCATGCAGCTTCGTTTCCTGACCTACTAGACCACTCTTTGTATTGCAGTAGCCAGAAGCTGCAGACTCTCGTCTGGTCAGGCAGGGTCTTGCATCAAATATGCAAATTTTAGCCTGAAATTGGCCCCCCCTTGATTTGTCCTCATGCTCCGCCACTGACCATGCGACCCAAGTTTTTGCATTGGTCTAAAAAAGAGCTAGTAGGAGGCCTGTACACGAGGCCCACTCAAATAATTTGTGGCTGTCTCAGAATTTCTATCTCTATGAGATTTGGTCAAGGATGTAATCCTGCAGCTTGTGGTCTCCGATTATCATATCTGGCGGTTATCGTCAAGTGGCCAATATTCAGCAACGTCGGCTTTCAAAAATCTCTTCCAGGGAATGAATTCTTTTTAGCCTTATACTAGAATTAGGAAATCCTGAGCTCCAAGAAAATGTAAATTCTTCTTATGGTTGGTAGCTCATGACCGGTGTTGGACAGCAGACCGTTTGGCAAGAAGAGGGCTTTCTCATGCTGATAGATGTCCTCACAGTGATCAAGCTGAAGAATCTATCAACCATTTACTCTTGTCTTGTGTTTTTGCAAGAGAATTCTGGTTCAAACTTCTACAAAGAGTTGGCCTGCAGTTCCTTGCCCCGCTGATCGATGAGGAGTTCTTTGATGATTTGTGGGAAAGAATCATTGTGAGCGTTGGGCACCAGATACAGAAAGGCCTCAACTCCCTTGTCATCGTTGGGGCTTGGACCTTGTGGATTCTTCGTAATAAGTGTGTGTTTGATGGAGTTTCTCCAGTCTTGGCTAGAGCCTTATTGCTCGCTAGGGAGGAGTTATTTTTTTGGGGTTTGGCTGAGGCTAGAGATATATCCTACCTACTCGCCCTTGTGCCGGTGTAGTGTGTTTGTTTTGGTTGGGTCGTCTCTTTCTTTGTCACAAACGATTCGGATTGTTAGTGCATGGTGTGTTGGTGTGTGTTTGTAAGGGCTCTTTCCCTTTTTCCTTCTTAATATAATGATATGCAGCTCTCCAGCGTGTTTGAGAAAAAAAAGTTTGTGGCAAAGAATTGACGCGCAGACAATTTTGTTACAGTTCCAGGGATTTGAGTTCCTGGTCCATATGCATTGCAACAGGACCTTCAGGGCTTTCAAAGCAGTTACAGTACAGTATCATTAGTTATTACAAGTTCTCACCACGTTGAAAGCCTCAATGCACAGACATTAGAGAAAAGGAATTAAAGTTTGGTTACCCCTCTGTTTACCACTATTACCGAAACTAAGATACATATAAAAAACGAGATCCAACTTAGGAGGAACTAGGTGGTTTTTAATTAAGAACCCAAATTCAAACCGAGAGAGAACTTGAACCTGTTGAGCTAGGCTCACGTCCTAAACTAAGATACATATGCTAGTCCATTGCTAATTGCTTCATGTACCTCCCACCCAACCAGTTGAGCTAGGCTCACGTCCTAAACTAAGATACATATGCTAGTCCATTGCTAATTGCTACCTTTGAATGCTCTGCAGATACAACAGATAGTGCAGAAACACTCGTAGTGCACCTTGAACTAGAACCATATAGTAATGCACTTTCCTGAAACATTAGTCCATGGAATTTCATGTAACGATAAAATGATAGGACAATAGTTTCAGAAAACCACTATTTAAAACCTTTTTTGGACTCCTTATGGTTCTCCAAATCTTCTTAGTTGTTTTGAGACCCAGAGTGTTTATCAGTTTTGACCTAAACCTAGCTAGCTACTCCCTCCGTTTCCAAATTATAAGACGTTTTGGCTTTTCTAGACGCTTTGATTTTACTATGTATCTAGACATTGTATATCTAGATACGTAGCAAAATCTATGTATCTAGAAATGCCAAAATGTCTTATAATTTGGAATGGAGGGAGTACTAAGGTTTGTTTTCCTTTAAGAATCTCTTGGCCAGCCAAGGACTCTAGCTCAATCGGTTAGAGCTTTCCAGCAGCACCCCCCAGGTCTTGAGTTCAAATTCCCGTGCGAGCGAATTTCAGGCTGGGGGTAAAAAACCCCCCCTCGCCGCGCCTCCTGTGGGGCAGTTGTCCCGGCCTGAAGGTAACGGTGCGGTGGCGGTGGCCCAGGTTGCGGCCTGCTAACCCGGGTGTGCAGCGGGGTTCGGGGGTTTTCTTGGTCGGGAAACTGAGAATCTCCTTCTTAGTTTAATACCGTGGGGGCGGTCTTTCCCCCACCAGCCGAGTTTTTTAGAATCTCTTTGCCAGGATTACCCAGACATGGAATGAAATACTAAACTAAATACAACAACAACAACAACAACAAAGCCTTTAAGTCCCAAACAAGTTGGGGTAGGCTAGAGTTGAAACCCAGCAGAAGCAATCAAGGTTCAGGAACGTGAATAGCTGTTTTCTGAGCACTCCTATCTAAGTTCCGGCTCAACCACACAGATTATGACTTCCTCTTAATCTAATATTATTATAAGAGCAGTTTCTAGTTCTCTACTATAATCTCAACCAAAGTTCACGAAGGCGCTAGGCGGTTTCTAGGCGATGACCCATGGCCTAGAGCCTAGGCGTTTCAAGGCGTTTTAATTTTTATACACATACATATGTATTACCTTAAATTTCCTTAAATAAAAAAAGAAATAAGAGATCTATGGACCTAAAGTTGGAAGAAAGGCCCATCAAAAAAGCCCAGCCCACCTTATCCACCCCTTCCACCTTATCCATCCAGCCATCCTCCTCCCACCGCACGAACTCTGCTTCCCTCCCCTGTTTCTCCAACGCCGCCGCTCCTCAATCCCTCGCAGATGCGCACGCTCCTCCCTCAGAAGCGCCCGCTCCTCCCTCAGATGTGCCCGCCGGACATCGACACCCGTCCTCCCTCGCAGATGCGCCCACAGCCCGCCTTCCTCCCAGCCTCCGCTCGTCACCTGCCGCCTCCTGGCCGCGTCGGCGGCCCGCTTTCCTCCTGGCGGCGCCTATCCTCCGCCTACCCCATAGGCAAGGCGGCACCCCTCCGCCTAGCGCGTAAGCGCGCCTAGTCTCGCCTTTTTGAACATTGATCTCAACCAACCTAGGAGGAACTAGGTGGAATTGTAAATAAGACAAACACCAAAATTCAAGTTGAAGAGGACTAGAACTTGGGGTGTATGCCCACAACCTACCATTAACTGAGCCTTGCTTAGTTCCTTACCAGTCCTCTATTATAGTCCTGTACTGGTGTTTGCTGTGTTATGACATGACACATCAATTTGCAGGAATGGGAGTATATGATGCTATGAAATTTTGCAAAGCTGATGTCTCAACTGTTTGCTTTGGATTGGCGGCTTCAATGGGTGCATTTTTACTTGCTGCTGGGACAAAGGGTAAGAGGTACTGCATGCCAAATGCAAGGATTATGATCCATCAGCCATCAGGTGGTGCTGGCGGGAAAGTAAGTAACAATTGTTTGCTGTTGTGTTACTTTGTGCTATTTATTTCTTGTAAGATTTTCTGTCTTTCCTGTTTTTATTTAATCGAGTCAGGATATAACATTGAGGTCATAAATGGGAACATATTTTTCTCTATGACCTTTTACTACCACCTCTTTCTTATGTACTTTGTGGCTCTTGCTTGGTAAGGCTTGTTCATCTTATTGAGATTTGCTTTGGTACCAAAATGGGGGCTTTGGTGTTAGCCAAATATCAAAGTTACCCAACTATTGGCACGAGTAGCGATATCATGATACGTATTCCATTTATGATAGATTTGTGAGTGCTGTAGTGATAAACAAGACCTTATTAGCATATGTAGGGGCCGTTTGGTAGAGCTCTAGCTTTAGCTAAAACAGCTTCAGTTATGGATTCTCCTATGAAACAGCTTTTTCTGGCTCCAACTTCACTGGTTAGAAAAACGTTTGGTAAAACAACTTCTCCTAGTAGGTAAAATGAATAAATGTCCATAATGCCCTTCTATTTTTTTTGTTTTCTTTTTTTCCTCTATTTATTTCTCCTTGAAAAGAAATCTATTTTTCTTCTATGTTCATCGCTTCCTCTCGTTCTTTTTTTCTTTGTTTCCTCATCCTCTTCGTCGAACCATCGAGGGTTTTGAGTGCTCGCATAGCAATAGGGCCGCCACCCATGCCCCGCTCGTCTCGACATCCTCTCCCTCTGCTGCCCATGCCCCGCTCGTCTAGTCGCCTTCTTCCTCAGCCCCAAACGTGACGCCCTCTCCCTCCGCCGTGGACGTGACGGCCTCGGCTGGCTCCACACTCCACCTCTTCCTCCTGTTTGCCCACTCGCACAGTGCCTGTCCTGCCGCCCATCTTGTCTCCCTCCGCTCTGGCTGGTCACTTGGCCCTTGCTGGCTCCGCGCCCTACGCCCCGTGCACGACCTCTTCCTCTGCCCAAGGTGAGGGCAATTTGGCCATGGGCCCACGGATCTGAAGACGGAGCTGGAGGGAGCTAGTTTTTTCAGCTCCGTCTTGCGTCTCTGGTTCCTCTCAGTTCAAGAAGCTGGGCATGGAGCAGCTCATGGAGCACTATCAAACGCACCCATAGTCTACTTTTACTGCATTTTTCCTAGTAAATTGTGAAATCGGAGTCGTACACTGAAATAAAAAGAGGTCCAAATTGAAGACCTGCAACTAGGATCTTCCATTATATTTCCATGGATGTAGGGATGAAAGTAGATCGGATATGACGGATATTGCAGATATGAACAAGGGTAGTTGTTTTTTTTTGGGATTCGGAGTCGGATGTGGATAGTGTTGGATGCGTTGGATATTGATATAGAGTGCATATATGTATGTATGTATGTATGTATCAGATATTCGACTTTGATTATTCAGATTCTGATATGGTAGAGATATTAATTGTCGGGATTCATATACGTACTATGTATCAAGTATTTGAACCCCATTCGGACGGACAGCTGGAAATATGTCTCGTTTCAACCCTACTTGGATGCGAAGTAGGCTTCGTGATGTTTTAGGCCTATATGGTGTTATACAAATACTGCTAACTTGGCATTTTAATTGGATCCCTATCAAATGTATATGCTTTTAATGCATAATATGGCACTGTTTTGCCAACTCTAGTATTTAAATAATAGTGACAATGACTTATGGATTTGCCTTGCCCATTCTGGTAGGTCACGGAGATGGGACTACAAATAAGAGAGATGATGTACGAGAAGATTAAGATCAATAAAATAATGTCGAGAATTACTGGAAAATCTGTAGAGCAGGTACTACGGAACTTTTTGCATGATACTTGATTTTTACATAGCAACAGAAAATTTTGTTGCAGAATTTACTGATTGCCATTTCTTGTAGATTGATGAAGACACAAAGTTTGATTATTTCATGAGTCCTTGGGAAGCCAAGGATTATGGGATAGTTGACAGTATCATAGATGAGGGGAAACGAGGGTTGGTAGCGCCCTTGGCAGGATCTGTTCCACCTCCAAAATCGCGTGTGTGGTACTTGTGGAAGGCTTCGGGGCCGACCAGGAAGATCATGAAACATCTACCTTCAGAGGAGAAACTAATTCACAATGGTAACGGAAGTGCAACTGGAGATGATGGGAAGCTCAAGGAGGCATCGGCAACTTGAAGACCTTTTAGGTCATTATAGGTCGATAATAGAAATGGCCTAGTGCACTAGCTGTATTCTAAATCATTGTTTGGATACAGATTATGGGAGGATGTTAATCCAGTGCAGTGTTTTGGATGCTGCGTTGTTTCACGGGGTGCATATTTGGTTTTTTGTTCTTGCGATGCACCATTAGTCCATAACACAAGGATTTGCCCAGCATAACGATGATTCCTGTTGTACGGGACCGAGTACGGTTAGAAAGACAGGTCGTATAAAATGTATAAAAAAATCCTACTTTGCACTATAGTTGATAGGTATAATTTTAGCTGAAAGGATCAAGATGTCCAAAAGGGGTAATTGGGCTAAATTAAATTCTTGCAACAATTAAAACCTATCGCTTAGTTCATTTGATCCCTTAGTGTTTAATAGTGATTTCTATCTTACTGTACAAGGAGTTTCGCAACAGTTTCAATCCTAATCTAGCGAGATAATTCTAGGAATGTAAAATAGTCAAATAGTCAAAGTAATTGCACAAATGTAAATGTGGAATATAAAGAGAGAGAAAGAAACATGACGATATTTTTCATAGGTATCGGAGAGTCGACACTCCTCATTAGTCCTCGTTGGAGCACCCATGCAAGGATATAGCTCCGTGCAAGGACCAAGTGCTCACTATGGGCTGATTCTTTGTCACTCTGACACGGTGAATCGTCCACAACCACTTACAACATGAGTTGGGTCACCCACAAGCTCCACCGAGTGATCACCAAACTTTCAATCATCACCAAGCTGTTTAGGTGATGCCGATCACCAAAAGTAACAAGCACAAACTTTCACTTGACCCAACCAAGCCTAATGAGAAGAGTGGATGGTGTAAGGACTATGACGCCTAAGAGAGGGGATGAATTAGGTAATTCAAACTCTACTTCTAACTATGGCCTCTAATTTTTACCTTAGCAAAACCTATGCAAATAAATAAACTATCTGGATGTGCAACTACGACTTTGCTAGTGTGTTGCTATCTCTACCGTAAAAGAGTTACGTAACCTAGGTTCTAATCCTATCAACTAGCCTATCAACTAAGCTAGGAAATGTAAAGCACACAACCAAGATGCAATATAAATGCGGAAGCTAAAGATGAGGTAGAGATGCAAACTCCGTGGATGACTTTGATATTTTTACCAAGGTATCAAGAAGCGCACAAGCTTCTCCTAGTCCTCGTTGGAGCCCCTCACAAGAAATCCCTCGCAAGGGCCAAGCTCCCGGTCAGGTAACTCCGTGGATAGCCTCGGACCTTCCCCATGCGCAAGTGGGTCTCTAATGTGCATTCCGGCAAGCCTCTCCCGAACCGCTCCATGCTGTCTTCATTATCAAGCTTCCGGCCAAAACGCCATGGGCCTTGTTCTCTCCGGTACATGGTGGCGACCACACCACAAACACGGCTAGTGTGGTCTCGTAAGACTACAAGCCCCGCCAAGTACAACAATGGTGCGCGCAAGAACCGAGTGGTAAGAGGTATGCAAACCTCACTAAATACTAGGCCTAAACCTAGAGCAAGCGCATATGAGCATGGTCTAACTAACCTAAGCACTTCGCAAAGCACCTATGATAATCACCGAGTGATCTATTAAGCACTATGCATTTGGAGGGATCCAATATGGTGTCTCAACACTCTAGCACCTTCACATAGCTTCTCCACACATCTCTTGGCTGATTTGAGCACCTATTTATTGCCCCAAGCAAAGATATAGCCGTTGGGGACAAGTTCACCCTTCCTGTGGACCGTCAGACCGGACTGAAGGAGACCGTCAGACCATTAGTGTCAGGGTCTGACACTTTTGTAACGGCTAGGTGTTAGTGACCGTTGCAACTTTTCTAGGAGCGTCGGACCAAACTGTGAGCGTCGGACCAAACTGTGACACTGTTCAGTTCATTTGAGTGAGCGTCAGACCAAAGATGGGGGCGTCGTACCATTAGCGTAGGACCGTCTCACGCTCCATTTTCAGCGCAGACACACTTTCGTATTTTGGGCGTAACTTTTAGCTCCAAACTCTGGTTTTGTTGATCTTGGACTTTTTGGAAAGGTGATGAAAAGCTCTATAGCTTTGAACTGGTGTAATATCAATTTGAGCAGATCCAAAATCATGAGACAATTCCAATTCATTCACCTCTTTGTCTCAGCTTGAGTGGCTTCAACTTTGTTTGTGTATTTGTGTCCGCGCTTCTACTTCTTGGTGTATTTGACTTCTAGCATGTTTTTTAGGTCTTCAAAAAAGCTACTAATGTTTTGCTTGAGGTGTTGATCATCTGGATCACCTCTTTGCCTAAGTCAAAGTCCACATTGTATACTAGCAAACAACATTAGTCCAAATGGTCATGTTGTTCATCGGACACCAATGCAAACTAAATGGGCCAAGGGTTCATTTTCCTTACAATCTCCTTTTTGGTGCTTGATCACAACACGACCAAATCAAGCAAATAATAAAAAATACAAATGGAAAACCTTTTTGCTTACTAGGGATGCAATGCAAAGCCAAGATCATATGATGCTAAAAAGATATCACTTGTATGGATCTTTGAAAACTTATCTTGCCCTTGCCAATGTCCCCTTGTGGTATTATGGACATAAGCCTCTCCCTAACTCCATAATCCACTTTCCTCCCTTTCTCGGATCATTCCCAAATGGGGTTCTCCCCTTTGATCTTCCCATAACCAAACCACTTGTATGCTTGATACCAATTGAATGCTTGCACTTGTATCATGGTATCTTCAAAAATATGTGAATTTTGGATTTGGTTTTATTATGGGTTGGGCTTGCTTTTGGTCCTACAACTTCTCCCCCTTTGAAATCAAACACCAAAAAGGAAGACATTAGTAGCACAAGGGAGGGTCAAAATTTGTGATCCTTTGTATGTGGAGTGGAATTGATCACAAAACTTGACTCTCACATTACATAGACTAAGCTCCCCCTAAGTGTATACATACATATGGTGTGAGGCAAAGCATATGCATAACCGGCAAATTAATGCACAAAGGAGTAATGCATGGAGAAAGCATACAAATATACCAAATGTAATATCAACATAATGATATCGGTTTAGAAATACTACATGTAGAAATCCAATTGGATTGACACCACTTGCAATGGGTGGTGGATTTTGAAAGCATGATGCGTATCTCCGAGGACTCTATTTTCCTTGCAATGAGACTACTACACACACGATAAGCTTTAAAAGGGTGTTAGTCTCAAAGTGTCCAACTTGTTTTCTAGCTTGACAAGAGCTACACAATCTATCCTTATCAAATATCACATCTTTCAAAGCCCTTCAGTAGATCATGCTTAATCAATCTATTCAATTGTTTTATTCCAACATGTCCAAGCCTTCTATGCCATAACCAACCCATGCTAGATTTAGTGAATAAACATGTTGACAATTGAGCTTCACTAGCATTGAAATCAACCAAGTATAGATTATCATATCTAAATCCTCTGAATACCAAGTTAGAGCCATCTACACTTATAATCTCTACATCATCAACTCCAAATATGCACTTAAATTCAAGATCACACAATTGTGCTACTGACATTAGGTTAAAGTTGAGTGAATCTACTAGCAACACATTTGATATGCTCATGTCATTGGATATTGTAATCTTACCAAGCCCTTTGACCTTGCCTTTGACATTATCACCAAATGTGATACTATCAAACTCATTGTTGCCACTTGTGTTGATTGAATTGAACATTCTTGAATCACCGATCATGTGTTGTGTGCACCCACTATCAAGCACCCAATGCATTCCTCTAGCTTTATAATTGACCTACAAAAGAAGGTCAATTCTTTTTAGGTACCCAAACCTTTTTGGGTCCTTGAAGGTTCGTGAGCAAGCTCTTTGGTACCCAAATGGCTTTCTTATTTGAGCCCACAATTGGTGCACCAATGAACTTAGCTTGCACACCATTCACACCCTTGGTAAGCATATAAGAAGAATCAAACTTAATTGAGGATACATTAGCTTGTGATTTCTTGTTCTTGCAATATTGCTATAGATGCCCAACTTGCTTACAACTATTACAAAACCGACCATTGTTCTTCACAAAACTAGTCTTGTGAGTAGCAAAGGCCGCCTTACCTTTCTTGGGGGGTGAAAGGATCTAACAATGCCTAGAGGGAGGGTGAATAGGCGTATCTAAAAATTAACTGCAAATGCTAAGTTCAAATTTGTCAGTCAATATCGAAAGTACCGGCGTTTGGGTCAGAACTCCCGACGTCGTCAGAAGTTCCGACACAAACGTCAGCAGTCCCGACGCCTACGTGAACTACAAAAGCAGTGCCAAATTTAACTTTGTGGAAAAATAATCTTACAACCCCACTTCATTGTGGTTTGGTGAAGAGGTTGGGTCACTCCCTTGACGTCATAATGCCTCCAAACCGTAGATCGAGTCCAAACCCTAAAATGAAGTTCAAGAGAGAGAGAGACAAACAAATACAAGTAATCTCTAGCAATCACAACAACAAGCACACAGGACACAAGGATTTATCCTAAGGTTTGTCAACCCCACAAAGGAGCTCCTATGTCCTCGTTGTTGAGGTGACCACAAAGGTCGGAGTCTATTCCACCTCCTTGCCTCTCTCAAGCGACCACAAAGGTCACTTGAGCTTTCCACTAAGAAATCAAAGGGTAATACAAACTTCCCAAGGCTCTTCCACAAGATGGAAGCTCTTGGGCAACGCCAAGCCGGCTAGGGGCAAAGCCCCAAGAGTAATAGACGCAAAACCAACCGGCTTGATGAAGAAATCAAGTGCTCAAGCTTGCCAAAGTGATTCTCTCACTTAATCCACTCTCCTTTCACTCAAAACCCTAGGGGAATCGAAGATTGGAGCAAAGGAGGGAGGAGAGGGATGCCTTTGTTGCTTGGGAGCTATTGGGACGAAGTTGGGTCAGCTGTGAATGAGTCCGTAACAGTTAGAAGTGAAGAGAGGGCTATTTATACTCTTAGTAGAAATCTAACCATT